CAGCCAATACGTTGGCAAGATTCTAATCTAGCTAGCAATTCAGCAGGAATACAAGCATCGTGTGCCGCAGGCTTAAGTTCGGATCTCCTTGACTTTAATTTTATAAAAGCTTACTCGAAAAAAATTGCTTTTAATTTTGAAAACATCTTCAAAATTAAAGAATTACGGATCGGTCTGATCAATTCCGATTAACCTAATTCGATTAAGTATTAATCGTGATTGGTCAATTCTGTTGAATAGCAAATGTGATTGGTTAAGCTGGAAACACAATAGACACAGGCAATAGGCACAGGCAACAGGAACAACGAGCCGTCCAATCAGAGCTTTGGGATATAAGTTCGATATTATATCCCAGAGCTCTGATTGGACGGCTCGTTATTCCCTGTTGCCTGTGCCTATTGCCTGTGTCTATTGTGTTTCCAGCTTTATGGTCGCGTTCGGCTATCCTCGGGCGTCCTCGAGCGTTCTCGGACCCCGCGAATCTACCGATTCTACGTATGTGTGTATGTACTTGTTGCGCGCTCGTATGCGCACGTCCGCGTCGACCGCGTCATTCGCTGCATTTTTGCGGGGACCATCGAAAAAGCCACGAGGTAGCTGTTCAATAAAGTCGCTGAGACACGCACGCACGTGGTCGAAACATGGCAAATTATCACAAGCCGGAATCGAAGACCATTCAGGAGCTGCGGGACATCGCGAACAAGTTGAGAATTCATTCGATCGAGGCGACGCAGGCCAGCAAATCCGGGTGAGTTCGTCATCATCCACTTCCTAATCGGCGATGATAAACGAATACGGTCGTTTGTCGCTTCGACAACTTTGACCGGTGGACTCAGCTGCGGGGAGAAGATATGTACATATACAACGCCCGGAACGATGATAAGCGAGAACGCATCTCGTGATTGCGTGATAATGATGTAACCACGTGTTCGGAAATTCCCGCGTGAATGCTATCGATTTAAGCAACCGTCGAGACGTTAATTGCCTTCATTTGCGTTTTACTCGTAATTAAAACGTTATTTAAAACAGCGCAAGTATTCGACGTCTCATAAGAAGGACAGAATAAGAGTTTAAAAATTACAATCGGAGGATATTAAGAAAACACTTGACACTTGATTGATTGCGCACGGTTGACGTGTGCGTTGAACAAATATAGCATTACTTATTAATTGCGGAGTATTTATAGCGGAAAGAGAGTGTATCTATACATCTTGGCACGTGTTTTTATGACCCGATAGATTCGCGTGATTCCCGATAAAAACGTCGTGCCCAATATAACGCGGCTATTCATAATTAATACGAATTGAAATGCGGACTGCTGCAAATTAACGTAAAACGCCGATTCAGCGCCTAAAGCCCATGTCACACACTATACATTGGAGATAGGGGATTGAAAATTAGAATTCAGCCAATCAGAACGAAACGGATTAAAGTAAATTATCTGACGGTCGAATTTTAATTTCTAATTATAAATTTAAAGCCCGTGTCAAATTCTTCAGTTTTCGTCCGAAGATTTTTGAACAAATCTTATGCCCAATTTCTTCTCTTCCAGATAAGTTGCAGATAACCTTATCCAGGAGATATCTCCATTGTATTCTGGGAGATATCTCATGGATAAAGTTACCTAGAAGTGAAGAAATTGGGCATTAATGATCCTCCGGCTGACGGAAAACATTTGATGTTTTTTTTTTATGTTTTTAAAAGAACGCATTACAATAGAGTAACAATTTTGAAAGTAGCAGTCGATTTTCGACAAGATAAATGAAATTTCCGGTACTTAAATCGGAGAAAAGTGGCAACCATAATTATAATACACATTCGAGATTAAGGATTGTAAATTAGAATTCCGTTTCACGCATGATGTGTATGTGATGTATTATTTAGTTCTTGTTCGGCCATCGAACATTAAAAAAGGATAAATAATACGATGACAATTAAACGACGCCAACAAGATTTTATAGCGTAAAACTCAAGCTTTCAGTCTCAAGCCGTGAAAAATTGACCAATCATAATTTATTATTATTAAGCATTAATATCTACTTTGACCGAAAATAGGATTATTTCTATCAATTGATTAATCCATTTCATTCTGGTTGACTGAATTCTCATCTTCAATTCGCAATTCTCAATCATCATCGCGTTTAGTGTGACACGGGCTTAACTCGATCGTATGATTTCCGATATCATTAACTTGGAGTGCGTTCCGTTTTACGCATGATACGCATGAGATATCATTATACCCTTGTTGTTCATCAAATATTGAAGAAGGGTAAAATGATACATCATTTTATCCCCGTGCCCTTTATTTAACAATCATGTATCATCTCTTCGAAAGCATTTCAATGTTCCGAATATGAACCATGACACACAAAAAACTTAATGGGCCTTCTACAATAAGCCATTAAGCCGTAATTACACTAGCGATTGGCGATTATGATTGACGATTGAGGATTACTTTTCAATCAATCAGAGCCTGAAAGTCACCGATTTCTTTGCTCCGATTGGTTGAAAAGTAATCCTCAATCGTCAATTACAATCGCCAATCGCTAGTGTGATTACGGCTTTAGTCATAAATCAGAAGTCAGAAGTTAAAAATTGACCAATCATAGTCGTCAATTTTTAGCTTCTGACTTCTGATTTATGACTAATGACTTATTGTAGAAGATCCATAAGCAGTAAACGTGAGCAGTAAGGAAATCAACATGTTGGATTTGCTACTGCTTTATACGTTTTATTGCCTGAGTTTTTTTGCGTGCCATGCAGTGCCATGGCTCTAAAACGAACGAGAGATATCGAACGTAATTTTCATGAAGGCTTTGGAGCGCATATTCAAATTAATATAGCTTCAGTTTACTCAGCATTGATCATTCGTACTCTGTAATCAGGCGAAGATGATCTTTCTATTTATTTGTATGATAAAAAAGAAAAATGCGATGGTCAGTGTAAATTACGTATTATTTATCTGGGGCATGAATCTAATCAAGTACAATTTTATCGATTTGTGCTTGGAAATGAAGAGTGGAAAAAGACAAATGCGTTGTTCTCTTAGAATTATTTATAAACTTACATTAGTAATTTAAGCGCGTGATGTATTATTAGATTAAGCTAAATTATAAAATCTATCCACGATTCTTTTTCATCGCGCCGAGCCGGAATATCTTGCCGCCGATCTAATTTAAAGAATTGCTAGTTCATTAGTTTTTCTTTCAACTCACAAACGCGTTCTTGATGACTTGCACTTCCAGTATTTTCGCAATTTCGCCAAAGTTAGGAAGAAATTAACGAATGATTATTCGACCAATTAAAGTAATATTATTTTATAAGAATTAAAAGGCTTTAAGAGAGATGGATAATTTAATTTAATTTATATATTATCTCTACGTGTTAGATATATTAGGTGTTAAACTTAATTCCTGCCGTTTTTCATCTCCAAAATTGATTTGTTTCGAAGGGAAATACCTTAATCAAAATATTATTAATAAAGTATTATTAATTAGTAATAAAGTAGAAAAATGGAGGAAATTACTTTGATTAAGGTATTTATTCATCTTCCCTTCGAAACAAATCAATTTTGGAGACGAAAAACGACAGGAATTAAGTTTAACACCTAATAAATAAAAATATATTACATTCCTAGTTTATATATTTGTGACTAATAAACTTTTAATAAAATAAACTGACTGATTTAAAAATAAATATCGTTGATAAATGAAAAAATATGCCGTGTATTTTGCAAAGATATCAAGTTGATGAATAATATAATGTCCTTCCGGATTGATTGTCATTTTATATTTCTCACGCTCAGTTTATACATGGACAATTGTAAGAACTATGTAAGAAGTGAAGGAGTCATGCGTTTGCAGTCGTCGAGGTCACGCAGTGAAGGAAATGTGATAATGGCGGTGCATTAGTTTTTCTAACAAATAATTTACCGTATGTAATTCGAACGACGACTGTATAATTAATAGAAAAGATTCTCATGAATTTTAATATAAAGAGTGAGTTTTTCGTTAAAGCAGTATCAATTAAGGAAAATGCGAGAAAATTGTATCTCTGAAGCCAAAATTTATTTAGAATAATTCTGCGATTTCTTTTTTTCTTTGGAAGAAAAAACAAACAGTAGAAGTGCGCTTATGTAAGAACGTGTCTGAAAAATTTGAATTGTCGGTATGCAAATCAAGTACACACGCTATTATACGTATGTTCTGCGGATCAACTTCACTATGGTGTAAATGTATTTACATATTTACATACTTCGTGAAACGACTACTTATCTGCAGTGCGAAATAAGATGACAGAAATGAGGTAATAAGATTCTGATTTTCTGTGTTTTTAAAGTTTATGGTTTCGAGTCACCAAAACTCAAATAATTAGAGTAATGATTAAGATAGAGGAACGCAAGTGCAAGAAGATATTGTTAAAAACAAAAAATTCAAGTAAAAATAATCAAAGTGGAAGCATTTACTTGAATCGGAAGACAATGACTTTGAAATATTAAAGAAAAGAAAAACTGCAGTTCAATAGTTTTTACGCAGATACGTTTGTTTCGAGACACTGTATATATTCTGGATGCTCTATATATCGTCATTATCATTGTAGTCGTCGTTGTAGGGATGAGTTGGAGAGGTAGGGAGATAATCGTGCGCAGAGCAGTCGATCCGTTTGCCGGCGAAACTCCTTTCACTCGCCGGCAGTCGCGATCGAACGTTCGTTAAC